GGCCCTAATTGGTAGCTTCCATTTCTCTAACCAACCTAAACCCCAAATGGCAGCTTCCATTTTCTATTTCCATTCCCTACTGATCCCCAAGCCTGAAGTGGTAGGATCCATTTTCTCGTCCATTCCCCGATACTTGGAGGGTCATGGGGACTTAGTAGGTCAATCATGTTAGTTCCCATGACCCTCCAAAAAAGCAGCAGCAAGCTTTTGGCCCTGGCAGGCTACGCTGCTCTTCGGGCTGGGAGCTGCGACAAAGACCAGCACAGCAGTGGCAGCAAACCCCATCAGGCAACATTGGAATTTCCAGCAACTTGATACCTAGCACAAGTTTTATACCGTTTTGTGGTGTTTCAAGATTACATTGACTCTTTTTGGCTTGGACATGGGAAATCTGACTTTCACACTTTGACGGGGATCCTGGTGTCGACTTTGACTAGGAACTAGGTAGGCCAAACGGGCACCCCCAAGTCATCGGATTGACCTTTAGCAGTGGACATAGGGATCCTGCTTGTAGTTCAGCATAGTCCGAACTTATTCCCTAGTAAAGGGTCCATGTCCGTTAATTTCCCGGGGAAAGATTGACTATAGCTCATGTAGAACCACGGAAGCAGGACCAGTATCTGACGCAGTATGCTCTTGTGTGCCGAATATGTGAGGATGCTGTTGCCAGGACGGATCTATATTCTCAGCTGTTTGTGCGCATGCCTTCTGGCAGCTTGTGCAAGTAGGAATCTGCAGCGGATGCGCCAGGAAAGTAGTGACCATGATGCAAAAGATGCGCCTTGGTTGCAGCATGGTGCAGATTACGAGCCGTTCAGGCCAAAATCAAACAACGCCACCCAATCAACCCATTCTGGTCAACATCATGGCCCGTAACTGTTCTCCCCCGAGGTCAGAGAAGATCGAGCAAGAGGGCGAGTCTGAGAAAGATCTATATGCTGTCCTGGCTAAAGTTATCGCCAATGCTGATTATCAATTGTTTCTAGACTCTAGACCTTGCAACTCCGTGCTGCATGTCCTTTTCGGGGGACTCTGTATCCCTAAAGTTTTGTTCTGCATGAGATTGAGCTACGCTGAAGGAGCCACGTTTGAAGTCACATGCTTGATCCCGGCAAATTGGCTGCCGCAAGTGATGGAAAGGGCACCTCCATCTCGAATGCCAAACCATCTCACATTGCGATCTTGGTGCCGCCTACTGGAATCAGGGTCCCTGCAGGGGAGCCCCAATTTCAAACCCTAAACCAAAACCTTCGGCAGGATTGTTGTGAAGAATCCCTGAGCCCCAAACCCTAAACATCTTCCAGCTTCAGCCATCCTTTCGCTGCCCTGCGTATAGCCTGCGGATAAACATTCCCAGTGCCAGGACAAGTTCATGTGCCACTGCAAGTCTGAGCTGGAGGATTTCAACAAGGAGCTTGGTGTACTATAGTCTAAACTCCTAAAGGGGGTTATATAGGGGATTATATAGGGGACTATTATAGGGCTTATTAAGGGGATACTAGGAGTTTAGACTATAGCTCATGTAGGGTCAGATGATTTACATACCCCCAACTTGCATAGGCCAAGCCTTGCCGGGGCTTGTGGGACTTGCACTGGGATGACGGAGCGGTGGACGGTCAATTTTTGGCCAGCTTGGTTGGTGATTTGAAAAGATGTGATACGAGACTTAATGGATCAAAACTATAGAATATGGAGTTCTTTTTCAGAGTCCCTTGGACTTGAGGCTGATCATATTGGAGGGCGCAGACCATTCCCGAAAAAGACATGTATTCCCTTCATTGCCGCATTATGCAGTCGCATCCAGCACCAAGGTGTGTTTCATTTCAAGGAGCTGAAGCTCGTAAGCCGTCAACCCTCAAATCCCAAAGCTTCCGCGCGGCGTTTCAGGGCAAAGCCGAGTTCGAGGCCGTGTGGAGCTCATACGCGAGCCACATGAGCCGCGTGCTGTCAGACAGAACAGGTAGCCCTTTGCGGTGGCTACTACAATCAAGCGACTTTGAGTGTTGTTGTTCAGTTTAAGAGCAGCTATGCAATGATGTTTGTGTGGACCTGGCTAGTTGCCGCCTAAGGCCGTGCCCAAGCTGGAGTCCGACATCAGCACCGCCTGCTGCTCAAAGCTACAGCGCAGCTTTTCAGGACTTGAGCAATGTTCAGATTGGCTTTCACCGGTTGTTGCTGAGGCCGAAGCGCAGATCTCCCAGTTGACGCAGGAGATTGAGGTGGGCAAACATGTGGCTTTCGCGAAAACAAGATTCGTGTTGGGCCCACATGCTGTATGGACTTGGAGAGTTTTGGGAATACAGGGACACCCTGGTGCCGTGAAGTACCCCCATGCGGTGACTGTTCCTGCTTTTCCCATGATCGCAGCTTACATGAATCAGTAACATGCTGTTGCTCACCACCATGACTTTCCCAATTTTATAGTGTATCCCAACCACTGGGTCGGAAAATGCGCTTCAGGTCTTGCAACTAAGAAGCTTTAAGCTAGTAAGCTTGCCTCTGCATTCTTGTTGCTCTAGGCTGCTTCTTCTCGCAGGCATTAGGCATGATGCTCGATGTTCATGCCATGGCTTCAGAACCGAAGAACTTCCGATAGTTTTCACCAAGGCCTCGACCTCCAACCCGAATTTGCGAACTGCATGATACCTACGTTTGTCACAAGGACTCCATGAAGCAAAAACCCCCAAGCCCATGAAAGCTCTGCATCTTCAATCCCCAGCCCTACACGTTCCGGTGTACACCTTCAACTGTAGAGCCTTGAACACCAAGCCGGGAACGCCCTTCATTGCCTCTACATGAATAGAGTCTACAAATTACAAGCCCAGACTCTCTTCCCACCCCAAACCCTAAATCCTAAACCCCATTTCGCATGTCCACTTCCAGGCGCAGCGGGCGGACGAAGCTGCCACTCTGGACAGCATGAAACGTGCTGGAGTCGAGCGCGAGAAGGAGGGAGAAAGGGCTGGGATACGGATACAAGTAATGGAAGAGAACACGGAAGCTACTACAATGAGGTTATCTTGGAAGAAAATGGAAACTACTATAATGGGGTAGTATAGGGTTTAGGGTTTAGGGTTTAGGGATAGGGATGTATAGGGATGTATGTGTATGTATATGCAGAATTTGTTGGATCTTGATATGGATGTGGATAATATATCTACATATACATATCTGTACCGGATTTCCAAGGGATACATAGGGTGAAGGGTTCAGGGGCAAGAATGATTGGAGAGATGAAGAAGTGGAAACGAACATAGAAAATGGAGGGAACACTGACCTCATGTAGGGGAGGTTGATACAGTTTAGGCTATAGCGCAAAGCCTTGGTTTTTCAAAGTAGCATCCTAAACGGCGCCGAGTTTATCGTTTTCTTCTTTTTGACCCGGCAGCTTGACTTGGATGGGTTGTGAACAACAGCTGAAAATTGCTCGTGATTTGTGCTGCAGCACTCAGCAGTACTTCTTGTTTCGGGTTTCTTTTTTTGCGGACTCCTGCGATGGAATGAGAAGTCTGAAGTGTCGGCAGTTGTTCCTTTTGAATGAATGACGGTGAGAAGAAAGCTTCAGGTGTGCTGGTTTCGTGTCCTGGCTGGCGCAATATGTAGTGCCCCTCTGCATGCTTCGCTGGCATCGTGTTTCCCGAATCTGCCCATCCCTGCAGGGCCATGGCCCTTTTTGGGTTGTCCAGCATTAAACCTGAGAGAACTGCTTCATTAACATGTCAAGCACTACTGCACATATGCCGTGTAAGCCCCGTGTTGTTGTAATCGTCGTTGTTGTTGTTGTTGTTGGTGGTGGTGGTGGTGTTGTTGTTGTTGTTGTTGCGTTTCAGATTGTGCAACTACAGCTGCCAGGCAACATGCTTTTATGCTTGTTTGCTGTTCTGGTCACTACGACGCAATATCACACTACTGAGGCAGGCATCTTTTTAAATGAGCATGGATTGCGATCATATGGTTGATGATATTCTGACGCTGATTATGCTGATGCGGGTGGTAGCGGTTGTGGAGGTGGCTTTGGTCAGGGTTATGAAGATGATGCCGCACTTCTTTCAGTGTCCTTGTTTCCAGTGCGCTAGTCGGTGCAGCTATGTAGGAGCACACTGTCTATGTTGACGACGTGACCGAGTTGAAGGCACCTTTTGGCGCATGGCTAGCACTCATGCTGATCAAAGGAGGTTCCAGCCACAGGATGCGCTGAGTTCGCACCCCTCTTTGACCCCCCTTCCGGGTCTTAAGGGCTCCAGAGCGAAGCATCTTGAAGAACACAGGTTCGTCAGGGAGGTTCATGCAGAGCAAGAGGGCTGCTGGTGTGTCAGTTTAAGATAACAAGTTCTGGGTTTGAAAGGCTTGAGGAGAGCGGGGCACTGTTGAAGTTGTTCTCTTCTTGGATGTTTACTACCTGCGGTATGCAAGGGAAGCTAGAAGCAGTTCTACAGACCCAGCGGCACATGCCTGTGACTAGAAAGGACTTCATCTCCGTCCCAGATTTTTTAGCCACAACACCAGGAGAAGACTTTGGGGACGAAATCTGCAAGGGCCCACTGCTTCACAAGCTCAGAAGGGCCCAGCAAGCCATCCTTTCTCAGGGTGACATCGGAGCCATCGATCAAGCCTTGCCTGCGCTGGATGAGGTGCATTGAGAGTTCTGGTGTATGGCGCAAGGTCTAGGCTTAAGTTTGGTATCAGTGTCCAAATTACACGACTTCTTTGACATGTGCTATGCTCAGTATGCTCTCTGACCATAGCATTTCACGAGGGATATTTCGCGTACACGGTGCAACTAGTGATCCTTGATGGCAGGGAGTGTTAGCCGTCGCCGTCAAGTTTTTTCTTTTCCGTGTTCGCTTGTATCCAGAAGCAAGTCGCTCGTCATGATACAGCAGTCAGAGATCTTCATGCATTCGCCCGAAGTTGCGAGGAGCCCAGCAGCAGATTTTTCTTTGATAGCTCGAAAACAGCAGCCACATGTTCAGTTGCAATTGCGGACTTCCGTTGCTGTGATGATAGCCCTTCTCATCACAGTTTTCTCTGACACGCCAGTACTCGGTGTCATTGTTGCCATCGTTATCATCACCACCACCATCATCATCAGCAGCATCATTCTTCTTCTTGCCCTTTTCATATGAATATCCATAATGGCATTGGCATTCATGCTAATACTAGTTAAGACCAGTATGAATACAAAAAAGACTTACAAAGAGCATTTCCAATGAACAGGCCACTGCAGGCGCCTTCGTGCAGACAGGTCACCTGGCTGGCCTTTCGCAGAAGCAGGCCTGGCCTGTGGGGCTTGGGGATTTGGTTCCCTTTTCACGGGGCTTCTAGGGGACATGAGCTATAGTCTAAACTCGTTAATGGGGGTTATGTAGGGGATTATATAGGGGACTACTGTAGGGGTTTCTGGGTACTAGGAGTTTAGGGGCTACATGGGGTTATTAGGAGCGTCATGGGGACTGACTAAGTAGGTTAGTAACCCCTATAAGCTACATAGTAACCCCAGTCATCCCCATCACGAACCTGGTTACTCAGTCCCCATGACCCTCCAAGTATACAGGGGATTACGACTTAGGCGTCAGGATCAGGATTTAGGACCCTGGAGGCTCCAGGAGTGGGTCCTCAGGGGGGCTTATGGCAATTTTCCATTTTTTTGATGATTGTTCTCGTTATTGCTATCATTCATACTGTGCTCACCACTATTCGTATTACTGAATCTTAGGTTTTCGCGGTTCTTGTATAGGCTTGAATCTTCGGCAGGTACGCTTGGTATAATTACAACCTGCCACTCTCACGCCAGGGTACTCAGCTCGTTACCATCCGCTGCAAGAGAAGCGCTCACAGCAAAAAGCAGGTGCTCAGTTTCACGCCCCCCCCAAGGACGTTGGAGTTTCCAAGGACATATTATTCCTGAAGTTTCCTCTTCTTCGCAACTCCCGCATATGCTTGGTACTTACCTGACCCATGAATCTCGAACCCTGCTGCGAGGCTATCACATCTGATGATTCCCTTCAACAGCATCGGCTTTTTTACGTGAGATCTGCAATCATCACCGTGACCGCAAACTCTCTGGCAAGAACCCTTGTATGCCGTCCTTGAACAAGTATACTGGCAACTTTTTTCTACGAGCCCCAAAGAAGATGACTCTAAAGGCTACATCCTAAATCTTACCGTAATCCCAAAACTTGCCTGGAGCGTAAACCCCAAACAAACTAAATCGTGAACTGTAAATCTCTACACCCTAAACCCAAAGTGCCAAGCCCAAAAACTTCCAAAGCACAAAAAGCAAAGACGACAGAGCAAATAAGGTAAACGCAAAACCCCAGGCCTAAATCTTATGGGATGTCGGCAGGTTGAGAAGCTGCGCCGCGCAGTGTCCAAGAGCAAGAGCGTCGGGTTCCCTCTTTTTGCGGGCTTGAGGTTTAGGGCTCTTTAGGGTTTTAGCTGATGCGGGGTTTAGGGTTGGAGGCTTCAAGAGCATGACTGTGTCTTTGATTGGCTAGAACACCTTTAGGGATTGCATGAGAGATTGCACTGGATTTTGTGAGATACTAGGGTTTAGAAGCTGAAGGGTTACTAATGCTTGTCAGGAGTACGTTTCCTTCTTGCAGTCAGAAGCCGTAATCTCCACGCCTAACCCAGCCGCAGCACCTTGGATGCAACACTTTGCAGGCAGGACAATCTAGATCATTGCCAGCTATAACGGTTCTTAGCATGACCCAGCGTGCTATCTATGCATTGTTCGGAATGAGCATTAATTTTAGCGGGACCTTCCCTCCTTGCAAGCACTGATAATGAACCTTAGTATACGGTTGTTTCCATTGCATTTTTAAATCAACCTTAGCTAACCTTTGCTAACCCTAGCTAAGCCTAGCTAACCAAAGCTAACCCTAAACCCTAAACCCTAAACCCCCAAACCCAAAACTCAACACCTTTTTAACCATTTTGATGATGAACTTGGAGAACTTGGTACGCTGCCTGAGGTCACTGAGACCGACCGACAGGTCCTGACCTCCTTCCTCGAGGGCAAGGCTCAGGTCGGCAGCGTGGGGTTTAGGGTTTAGGAATTTAGGAATTTAGGGTTTAGGGTTTTTAGGGTTTAGGAATTTGGGAATTCAGGGTTCAGGGTTTAGGGTTTAGGAATTCAGGGTTTAGGGTTAAGGAATTTTTGCCATCCAGGAAGTTTACCAGAACTATCGCCATTACTATTAACATCTCTTGTTATAGTTTGTTACTTTTATCATTACAGCACCACTACTACGTGTAATATTACCACTGTGTTGCCATTACCATTTAGGGTTCTCTGGTGTTTGTACAGCATGGCCTCGTGACATGTTTTGGCCGGGTTTGCCTATGAGGTCAGGATATTCCGTACACTTCATGTAGATGCTTTTCTGCTGAGCTTGCTCTGTCGGGGAATGAGTGAAATGTAGATTTCACGAAGGGTTGATGGAGCTTTGGCTGCTACACGGACATTGTGATGTGCTGCCACTTTTGTTAAAACTGGCTCCCTCCTTATTCCATTCTGCGGTTTCCAGATGAGTTCTGCGTGAGCGATCGGCCAGCACGGCTCCGGCTCTTGCTACAATAAATGATCCCTTCGCGGCTGCCGCCGGGTTCACTCGCTTCTGCACCTGAGTCTCGGTCAAGTTCAGGCGCAGGGCATCGGCGAGGTGAAAGGCATGCTCGAAGTGTTCTGCTGGCCTGATTGTTCATTCAAACTTAGCCATCATCGTTCCTGAGCCCACACCTTGCTCCCAATGCCCCGAAATGCATCGAAAGCCAAGAATGCCAATCACTTTTACGATTTGGAAGTGTGCCAGGCAGCGTGAGGAGTTTTCAAAGGAGGTGGTTGTCGATGACAAGGAGGAGACCAAGGATATCAACATCTTCGAGGTCCGATGGCCAACAAGTGAAGCTTCATAATGTAAATCATTACTCCCACTAGTGCCACTGCAACTGATCCTACTTTGAGCACAGCCGTTTTCTCCGCAGAGGGAATGCGCAGGCGCTTGGCATGTGCAGGCATGGCGACCAGAAAGTACTGGCAAAATCGGCCTCGAGTTGATTCAGTGACTTGATGCTGTTTGGCAGGAACTCATGAATGCGAAGACCACCGAGAAAGAGACCATCGAGGAGACTTCAGGGTAACAGCTTTCCCTGAGGTGAGCCTGGTGCTTTGTCCTATCGATATTTCGAAAGAGTTTTTTCCACTGTGCAAGAGGGGGACCTGACAGCCATCACCTGAAAAAATCCGAGTGCCCTCTAGGCAGCCAAGATCCGTGGGGCAAAAGGCGTGCTACACTCACTTCAGGTCAGAGAACCTTTGCACCTCTAATTATGGGTTCTCCCCCGTGCCAAACCCAATTGAAAGGCCCATGTAGCTCCAAATAAAAACTTGAAAGTCCTCGAATGATAAGCCTGTAGCGTCTTGGGCCCTCTGCCCTTTGGTCCCCCGAGGCCCGAATGCGCTTATGGCAGTTGCTATTGTATGTGTCCCACACCAGAAGCTGCACATAATCCTTCTGTATCTTTTACTTTTAACGAGCCTCAGGAGCTAGAACCTTAAGCCCCAAATTATAAGCTGAAAAGAAAGACCCTCAGTCGCGCGGCTCAGGAGACCATTGCTGACAAGATCGATCGACGGGGAGTCCTCAAGGCGCAGAATATCTCCAGACCGAGCATCGAATCTGTCGAATAATGGACCCTAGCCCTGTTATAGGGTTCATATGACAGAAGGACTAAAGTTCCGTCTCTTGACACATGTCTAACGTCGGTCAGAATTCCCCGAAATCATGCGTTTAGCCTGTAAAACGAGATGGTCCCCTCCAAATCATGGGATCAGCAATTTTTGTGTTTGGAAAACGATTTTAGATCAAGGCCCGACTTAAGTGCTGTAAAACGAGAGAGTAGTAGATTTGGTCAGTTGGTCTCAAGCCTAGTAGGAATGAGATGGTCCCCCCAACATGCTGAGGACTATATAAAACGAGATGGAACAAGATTGCAGCGCGAGCATGGGAATCTTGACCATAGGCCAGACAACATATTCTGGGGTTGTATTCCCTTCTTCCCTGCTAAGAACCAGAAAGTTTTAAGCGCTCTGAGCTCACGGAGTTATCCTGGCGTCGTACATGTAAGGGCACGCAGGATCTTGTTCATGAACACTACAATTCATCGAGGTAGTCATGGTGGAAACACCTGTTTTATAGCAGCAGTAGTAGATCCCGAAACCCTTTCGCTCAAATGCGTGAACTTTAAGCCCTAAACCCTAAACCCTGAACCCTAAACCTTAAACCTTAATCCCGGACCTCAAAGTATTGCCTGCACCCAATCAGGTGACCCTTGTCCCCAACTCCTGCAGGTCTCCCTTGTGGACCTCAAGGGGGAGCTCAAGGACGCCCAAAACGCTCTCTCCAAGGACCGCCAGCAAGCATGGATCCCTAAACCCTACGTAATCCCTAAACCCTCAGCCCCAATCATTGCACTATAAGGGTGGGAGGTTTTGGGTTCCGTTTTGCTTGGGCCAAGGCTTAGTGCTGCCTTCAGGGCTTTGGGCTCCGTCTTCAGGGTTGCATGGGGTCAGTGGGTAGATGGTTGGGCAGAGTTCGAATTCAAGGTACGGGGCCACATCATTGTTGCCATTATTCTGCAAGGGTTTTAAGGATTTCTACAGGTCAAACTATGTGTGAACATTGGTATGGTTTTACATTCAATCCTGTTGTTCCTGTTGTTGCCATGATTGCCTAGCAGCACATCTTTTTAGTTTGATAGATGTTGCTCTTGCTGCTTTTGAAAGGTTTCTATCTGATGTATGTAGGGTTCTACAGACACTGAACAGGTTGCGCGCGTCTTCGATTTTTCACCAGCAAACGTACCTCGAGTCCTCTAGGGTGTGGGTACATTGAAGGCGGGGAGACGATTGCTTCATCCAGCGGCAGGAAGAGTAATAATAGGTAATAATGATAATAGTAGTAATAGAATAGTATTACTAATAATAAGAATGATAGTAATAACAGTTATAATTGAAAACGGAGCCAGAAGTTGGACCAGGAATCCCATGCACTCCTCAGACTGAAACACCTGACACCCCGCGGCGTGTCGGCGTATCTGTAGCCCCAGCCCCAAAAGCAACAAGTGCAGCTCAGCTGTTGGGAATGTTGGTCCTGAGCCGTTTGAACATAAGATGCTTAGTATATTATAATATACGAGAATATACCATAATATGCCATAGTATACCATAGTATACTATAATATACCATAATATACCATAATATACCATAATATACTATAATATACTATAATATATTATTCTGTGTGCGACTTCTTGCAGGACTTTGACGTCCTGCCCGATGCTGAGCAATTGACTTCGAGCTTCTCTTGTCAAGGGATCTGCTTTGCCAGATGCGGTTGTTTAGTACAGCAACCTGTGACCTACAGGCTTGGATATAATCTAGTTGGACATTTGGGGATTACCAGAAATGGGGGGGGGGCCAATACAGACATGCCAATCCTTGGATAGGGCCCAGGTTCGGCCAAAGCTTCCTTTGCACGTGATACAGACCGTGCTAGGATTTCAGTGGACAGGGCCGTTTCTTGATTTGCAGAACGGCATTGCAAAGTCTGCCGTGGCTTTCGAGACTTTTGTCAGCTCGCAGTGGGGCTGGTCCTGGTCTTGTTGCACATGTCGCTGCGACTAAGCTCTCAACCCTAAGCCTTAAACCCAAAAGTCAGAAACCCTAAACCTTAGACCTTAAAACCCTGTTAACAATTTGACCTTAAATCCTAAACCCCAAGCCCAAAACCCTAAATCCTATTTGTCCACCAGGAAGAAGCTCTCCGAGACCTGCGACGCCAAGACCAAGGAATGGGATGTACGCGAGAAGACTCGCAGCGAGGACTGACCCTATAAATCATTATCTGGGGGTTTCCCAAAGGTAGGGGTATCCTTTAAAGAGGTTATGGGGGATATAGGGGATACATAGGGGATATATATGGGACATATACGGTTTAGGGTTTATAATTATACATACATATATATATATTATGGGAATAATGGAGAATCAAATGGGAAAAAACAACTATGTAGTGCTAACTACCATAAGAATATAAGGGTATATGTAAGGATAGGGTTTGGGCTTTGGCATTAAGGGTTTGGGAAGCCATTATACAGTATGGGAAGATATAGGGACATATCAGCATATCTAGATATATGTATATATATATATACAAATAGTGACTTTTTGAGGGATACATTGGCTCTATACAGTTTAGGGAGTATAATTTACTACCAGTTTCATTCGGGATCATGTAGGAGTTGTAGTTTGAACCCTTTAAGCCCACGTACAATCCCAGTTTCCATTTAACTCGGAATCTCCATTATCGCCCAAATCTAGGACCATAATGGGTGTTTTTGGGGATTTTTCGATGGATGATGTGGGGAACTTGAGGGGACGATGTGGGGAAGATGGGGTCAATAGGGTGAACACGTAGGGACTCTGAAAGCCCGAAGCCACTAAGTTTGCAGCGGAAATTGTTGCACGCGGTTGCTGTCCCTGGATTGATTTCGCAGACTGGGGCCGTCCAAAGGCCGGAAAAATGCAAGGTGTTGCTTCCAGACCACTCCCCAGTCAGTATGCATTAGGATCCCACCATTTCTGGAGGATGTGTGAGTTCTTTCGTTGACAAGTTCCCACAGCTTCATTGACTGGGTTGCTGTAAAGGAACTTAATTTAAGTTACTATATTGGGAAGCCATATTTCTAATTATATATACCCATTCTGGTCACTTGATTTAAGGTCCTTAACAGCAAGCCAGTTGAATGCGTTGACTGCTGGGCATGCCAGGAGCTTGTGGCTATCCAGGAGACGGTGAAGATCTTGAACAGCGCAGGGGTCTCAAGGGAGACAATGGGGTGAGGTACAGGATTTTGGGGAGATTTTTGAAAAACGGGTGCCTTTTGGGACGTCCGGGATATGTAAGGGGATTATGGGGTCCCTATTCAGGATTTGTTGGGGGACACTTTGAGAAGCTCCAGTGGTAAGATTGAGGGTTAGAGAGTGTGGGGGCTGGTTTTGAGCTTGGGAGTTTGAGATTGAAATCCACCCTGAACCCTAAACCCTAAATAGTAGTTTCCATTTTCTTTTCCATTATCCCAATATATCCCCTATATAACCCCTAGGTTACCTGCACGCGTGTCCAAAAGGAGTGCTGCGAGGAAGGATGGCAGTGCCAACCTCTAGCCTCACTCAAGCCGCTGCATGGATCTAACTTGCAAGTGCATGGAACAGCATAGCAGTCAAGGAGTGGAGTTTGTATGGATGCGATTTGCTACTAGTGCGTGGGTCCGCCTTCGCCAAGATTTCTCTGTTCGAAGCTTGCCGGAGAAGTGAGGGAATTGTAGTAAAAGCCTGAATTAGAGGAAACGTGTTTTATCATGGCGCCAGAGCGGTCAAAAACAACAGACTAGGCTTAGGATCTGACCCAGCGCAACCTGCTCAGTTACTACATTTTTGTGACTTGGGTGGTTGTCAAAATTATGGTCCCTTTTTGGGATTATAATACGGCCCCTAATATTTAGGGTACCCAAAAAGGGACCATATTTTTGACAACCACCCACTTGGTTTCAATCATGACTTTCAAGTCTCTTTGCTCTCCAAGCCCGCAACAACTGACAGGATGAGAACCTGGGCCTCTTCAAGAAGGCTCTGTGCCCACCTCGGCTGCTTACGCCTTCAAGTCAGTGCTAGAAATTTCCATTGGCAGGCTCACTTCATAGAGCCACAGACCTTCCGTGTTTATACTCAGATCAGGGCATGAAGGTTCTTTCAAAGACATGCCTTTGTCAACCTGCGGAGAAAGTTGTCCTCTAGCTTGTTCTATGCAGCAAGATGATGAGCCAGCAGACGGAGGGAGTTGACACACCTTCTATCATCTCCAAAGATCATGTCCTCTTCGCAAACTCTGAGTCCCAAACCCTAAGCCCTAAGCCCTTAACCCCAAGCCCTAAGGCCTTACCTTAAACCCTCAATCCTGCCATGCTTCTCGTTTCTACATGAGCTATAGTCTAAACTCTTTAAAGGGGGGTTTTATAGGGGATTATATAGGGGACTACTATAGGGATTATTAAGGGGGATACTAGGAGTTTAGACAATGGCTCACATGTCTCTTCAGCGGGTTCGCCTGGTGGCTCAGGCCGAGCCCCAGCCTGCTGCAGCTGGAGGGCTCTGAGACCAGGACCGGTTGCTTAGAGGATTATACAGGGTGATTTGGGTTTAGGGTTTAGGGTTTAGGGTAGGGTTATGTGGGGCTGTATAGGAGTTATATAGGTATAAGGGAAAAGAAAATGGAAACCACTATATGGTTTAGGGTTTAGGGTTCAGGGAATGAAGGAATGGAAAAGAAAATGGAAACTAGTATCATGGGTTATATAGGGGTTATACCTATACCTTCATCCCCAACTTACCAGATATAAGCTTCAGGATCCTTCTTGAAAACTGGGATACCCTTAGGGATCCTAGGGGTGTGCAGGGGATTTCAAGGGAACTTGTGGAGTATCCGGCAGGGAGATAAGGGATTGGATATTCAGGGTTACTTGGAGGGTCATAGGGACTTGGTAAGTAGGTTACTAACCCCTTATGAGCCATATAGTAACCACTTTTATCCCCATTATTAACCCACTTACTAATCCCTCATGACCCTCCAAAAATCCCTTTTCACGGTAAGGGATCAGGGAGGGATGAGGGTCTCGGGCTAGCAGCGGTGTAGGGATGAGGGTTTGGGGTTGTCTGTGTCAGGGATTGGGGCTCCGGGATTCAGAATGTGGGCGCAGTATTGCCAAAATGGGTTGAATCGGAGATTGTCCTTTTCGTTATTTTAATTCGAAAATACTGCCAGATATGGAAAGGTTGTTGCCTACTCCAAGCATGCGTTCATAAGGGAACCCAACAGCATGGGTTTGGACTTCGGCTCCTTTTTCAGGGTACCTCCAAGCCTTGGCGTGTTTTGAGGTAGTAATACAGGGATAATGGAAAAGAAAATGGAAACTACTATATCATGATAGGGTATATATTGGGGTCATATTAAGTAATGATTTTGGGAGCTAGAGATGGCCGCGCCCTAAACCCTAAACCCTAACCTCGTGTCCACTAAGCGATACATGCACCAGCGACTCAACGGCTTTGCATCCGGATTTGTAGCTTTTGCTAGGGCCATATGGCTAGCAATCCTAACGTTTGTGTAAGCACATGGCATTGCTCGCGTAGCTGGTATCCTCCCAGAGTTCTACAGTCTGTCCAATGTTGGCAACTTCATGGTTTGCACGACGTGTACTGCTTGGCTGCAACTCCTCCGTTGCCAAGATCTATTGCCAAGGTAGGACAGGGCGCTGCTCAAAAGCACTTGGAGTTGTGCCAGGGACAGTGAGACGTAGGAAGGAAAAAGCCTCAACATGTAATACAATAATTTTACGACTGTTTTTTTGCCGCTGCAAGTTGGAATAGTGCATTTTGTAGCATGCATATGGTCTCTACAGATGCAATGGTTTTGTGCTCGTGTATGCAAATTTGCTTTTCTTTGTCCGCACGTGGTGCGAGCTCTCAAGGCAGGATGTGGGAATAGACCCCTAAACCCTACAGTAAACCCTAACCTAAACCCTAAACAGGACAAATTGAATCTGAGCCCTAAACCTTTCACTTGGTGACAGGGGCAAGGCCTTGGATGTGCTGAAGACCTACGCCAAGAGCATGGGTTCCGAGGCGAAACGCAGGGAGGAGGAACATGGTTACCTTTGGTTACTGTCCCAAGGCTGGGTTATATAGGGGTTATAGAGGGTTATACAGGGATAGTGGAAAAGAAAATGGAATCTACTTTAGCGTTAAGGGTTTAGGGCTTGCCTTTGGTTAGTTGGGAACGAGGGATGGAAAACAAAATGGAAACTACGACTACATTGGGTTGAGAGTTTAGGAGGAGGGGAAAAGAAAATGGAAACTACTATGATGGGTTATATAGGGACTACTATGCGGATCTATTCCTTCATTCCTAGCTAACCAAGGATAAGCATGTTGGGGTCGTAGTGACAGGCTTATTTCGAGAGCTTTGAGGGCTGTGTAATCCCTATATGTTATATTATCCTATAAGTATCCCGTGCATAACCCGAAAGAATCCTATGGAACCCTATATATGGTAGCTGAGCTTCTTTGTTGGCTTGACATGCCATGCCGCCATGATGAGAATTGAGAAGCACGGAAGATATAACATTTTGTCCGTGGCTTCCATCTTATGACGCAACACGATTTGTATATATCCTTGTTCCCAGGATTTTGATCAGAGCTGGTGTGTTCGAGTAAGAGTCGTTGTGTCCACATTTTGCACTTAGAGAGAAGGTTGGATGTGTTTTTTGTAGGCAGTGGCCAACCGAACCAACGTGGACCTGGTTGTGGAGTGCCCAGTGTTCTCGCATTCGCGGGGCTTTGAGGTCCTCAGATTTCAGGGGGTCCGGGGTGCCTGGAAGCAAGGGTGCATTCTGCTGACAGGTTTTGCTGGGCCTCAAAGGTGACAGAGTGGTAATGCCGCTTGTCACAGGGTGTTCAAGCGGATCTGCAAATTTCAGAACAATTCCGAGGTCATGTCTTGAGGATGTTATATGCCCTGTCATGATCTAGTGGTTTCCATTTTCTTTTCCATTATCCCTATGTAGCGCCAATACATTACAGTATATTGATCTGTTATTTAAGCACACTGCAGGCTTGTCCTCTTCAGGGCCATGAGGCAACCAAAGTTTCTTCGCGTAAGAACTGAATATCTAGATGCAAAGGCCACCACTGAGGAGCAACATGTCTATCTTAGCATAAGTTCACATTCCGCTAAGCTACTGTCAGAGCGTATCCTCGCAAGGCAGCGGCCTCCTAGAGTCAGCTTAAGGATTCTTCGGCCATCAAACTCTTACGTACTCTCCTTTTCTGCCGCCTCATTAGGAGACCTTCTGCCTTAAAGCTTGAAGGCTTGTATGTCACAAAGCACTGGGCTTCAAAATTGCGGAGCTCCGCTGATGTTAGTACTCTTCGCCTCTAAGCAATTGTTGGGAGTTCGCCTCTGGGTCTCCCGGATTCGCTTCACTGATATGATTGTTGTTGTTATTGTTATTCTATTTTCATTTTTCTTTTTGTTGTTGTTGTTGGTGGTGCGTGGTGCTAGTCCTATCTCCAGCGCTATGGCTGTTGTTGTTCTCCTCCACTGTTTTAGTATGTTGACTACTTTTTTGTTGGACCCTGGAGTAGGTAATGCTAGTGACTCCGGATCCTTCAAAGTATACTTGACAGCAAGTTTCCATGTTGGTTTTCAGTTTTTGCCATTCCTTTTTTTGAGCCCATAGTAAACCAAAACCCTCAACCCAAGGAATAATCCCTAAACCCTAAACCCTAAGCCCTAATCCCTAAATGCAGTTTCTGGTTTCCGTTTTCTTTTCTATTCCCTGTCTGCATCCCGGCTCAGATGCTGGCCTTGTCCCACAAGGGAGTTGACTTCTCCACCGCCTGGTGCTAAGGAGCGTTGCTACACCCTGAACCCTAAATGGTAGTTCCCGTTTTCTTTTCCATTATCCCTATACAACCCTATATTTGACCCTAATATATGGGAGAAACCATCCCCAAAAGGTTTCCGAACATTCCCGGCAAGTTTGTGGTGAGGACATGTGTCATTCACTGGCATACCACCAGAACTGCAACAGCATGATTGTACTTTTACAAATGTTATTTGTTACATTCTGTAGCTTTTTCTGGTCTTGCTTGCAGTGGCTGTCAGACGCGCTTGGTTCGGAGAAGCGCCCAGCGCGGGTGCGACTTGTGTGGGCTCATTGTTGAAATAAGGACGGATCAACGAGGATCCACATATCATTATGGGCGTGTGGTTTGGATATCGGGACTGAAATCTCACTCACAGCCCACGTGCTGACGCCTGAAACCTGTCACGCCAGAGCTGCAGATTCGCATGCAAAATCCTACCTTCGTGCACTCTGTGACATAGCTCCCTCAGCAAGTACACGTCCCAAGCTCCGAGGTCATGAAGATGATTGACAACATGACGGCTCTGATGGAGCAGGTGCCCCCGTCCTCATCCAAATTGGGCATTTGCTCTGGCTAGACTCAACAGGATTTCCAGTCAACGGCTAAAGGGCCTTTCACCTGACTTGGGCTTAGAGAATGGAGTCCAGGAATTTAGGATGATTTGGGGTCCGGAGATGTTGGTCTAGGACGGCTCCTCCTGGCCTTGAGCTCGTCGCTAACGATTCTTAAATGGATTGAAGCCTCCACAGCTGCACAGGTGACAGGGGTGAAAGGTGCCTCTGCGCTCAAAGGCACATACTGTAGCAGATCCTTTGGAGGCGTTGACTCACTTGAAGCTGGTGTAGCCCTGAGTTGTGGTGTCTGGTGCCCAGCAAAGTAAAGAGGCTCAGTGATCGAAGCTTGCAGGTCTGACAAGAGAGTATCTTATTGGGTAGCATGGAACTTAGGTTGATGAGTTAAACTACCATCCTCACTCACATACATTTCGTCCCAAACTCGGCGCGACAATTCCGAAGCACCTTGCAACATACCCTAGCTCTTCTTCTAAAGCAAAAGGAGCAGTCGGATGATGATGACAAGAAGGACTACTGCAACAAGCAGGCCTTCGAGAACACTCGCAAGACCAAGGCCGCGTGAGTTACAGATGGCGGCAGGGATTTTAGCAGGAAAACATGTGGCATACAGCATGCTACGCATATTCTGACCGGAGATAGCACAAGTAATGCATCTTGCTACTCGTAGTTGAGGAAGAACATGAAGATTATTGCCTCTGGTAACATGATAGATATGTAGTTTCAAAAGCCTACAGAACCTCATTGGAAATGAAGCAGTTGATGATTACACCGGATCAGAAACCGTCTTGCAGTAGGAGCTCGGCTTGTTTGACTTTTTATAAACCAGCACGAGCGGCGCTCGAAAAGGCATGTTTTTCCTGAAGCCTGGGAACTGGCCAAGAGAGTTTCTTTGTGCTGCCCGGGTTGCATGTTCAGATACCCATTGGGATAAGTTCTGGTAATATAGGGATTACCCAGACCTCTCGGACAGCTCCTGGAGGCACTTCGGCACAAGATCCAGACCCTTGAGCAGGCCATCACCACCCAGGAGGAGGCGCTGAAGTAGAACAGGGGGAGACTGCAGGGGTTCTTGTTGGGGTTACATTGAATTGAATGGAAAGAACATGGAAACTACAAGGATTGTAATAGTGTTATATGTGCGCATATAGGGTAATACAGTATTGGGAATCCTGAAGTCTTGCATCAGCTCATGTACTTTTGTTGTGGGAATTACAGTTTTATGGGGTTCCCAAGTGGTGCAAGATTGAAGAAGTACCTGCCTTAGTGGATCTTAATAGGGATCGCCCTATCTTGGCGGAGCAATAACAAGGCAGAGCCTTGTTTCGGACATGGCCACACCAGAGGCTGTGGCCTTGGGTTGCAAAGTTAGAGGTTGAAGGTCCTAGCGTCAGTGCTAATAAGCCTGCATGAGCTGAATATACTAGAATACCAGATTCCCCCAGGTATGAGGCCCTCAAGGTCACGCATATTTTTTTAGTATGATATTTGTGGCTTGGGTGTTGCAGATCACCGGCTTGCGCATAGGTTGCTTTCCAAAAGCAACTTGAAAATACCTTTGTAGCGGGCATTGGTGCCAAAGTGCCCTACCGCCCTGGCACATGCACTTTCAACTTTGGACCGTTGAAACTAGAGGCCCCTCACTTGGGTGCCCCGCGCCTTCAGGCGGAAATCTTGTGATTTACAGTTGCAATTGCACTTGACCTGGACAGGCCGCCAAGACTGTTGAGGAGGAGATTAAGGCCCTGCAGGAGGGTGTCACTTCGCGACCGCCTCAGGTTACGAGATTCAGCGGGCAGGCACTGCGTGCGGGCTTGCTGATGTAGGAAGGCTCCGTTCTCGATCCTTCTTGTCAGTGTGGACTAGACATGTTTCAATTAACCATCGCAGAGGGCGAATGAGAACAGGCTGCACGGATCCTTGGGATAGCAACAACTTGGCGTGGTGAAGGGTTTGGAGAGAGTCGTCAATCTCGAAAACAATGTGCCTGTATTCTCCGCCACATCTCCGCAGTGTGGTTGCAGGTTGAACCTTGAGCCTGCAGTACTGACATGGGCTTGGCAGCCTTGCATCAACTGTCAGCCCCCTAACTGTGCAGTTCCTTCTGCAAAGTTCAAACATACCTCTCCCTCCTCCTAGTTGAAGGAGGGCGCCCTTGGTTTGACATGAAACCTTTGAGGTTGAGGGGAGGCGACTCAGCCCAGCAGTTGTTGCTGAGGCTGGACAAGTCTGTTGCTGAATCTACGGACATGCGCAAGAAGGAGCACGAGGCCAGCCTTGGAAAGTGTCAAAGGTAGTTCGGGTGAGAAACGGAATGCAATTGCGCGCTGGGATCTGCGGTAGTGTAGCAAGGTTTGGGCAGGCAGATGCTTGCGTTCAAGTTTTGGGAGACTTCAGTGTGAAGTGTTCCAGGCTTTGTTGTCTAGGGCTGGTTGCATGAAGGCTTGAGGGTATCAGTGTGATACACATCATGCATTTGGACTTCGTGCGCGCGCAGTGCGCATACTTCCCAGGATACCAGATGGCTTGGCATGTAGAAGTGGTCTGCACTTGGCTTAAAGCACGGATTTCCCACCGTTGTGGCAGGCAGCCTTTTTAGGATGCTGTCCCGCATTCTGAGCACACAAGGTTGGCGAAACTCACTCGGGGCTCTTTGCCGTGAACCCTCAACCCAGTAGCTAGAAAGAAAAACCGAAGGTTCCAGAAGGTGTATCTCGGATGACTGATATCGCACAAGTTCGCGAGGTCTTCGGGAAAGTAGGCAGTCAGGATTCCCCTATATAACCCCAATATACTATGGTAGTTTCATGTAGTTTCCATTTTATTTTCCATTATCCCTATATAACTATATAACCCCCTAAACCCTAAACCCCAAACCCATTATCCCAATTATAGCCCCAATATCTACCTTATGATCCCTAGCCAGGAGTTCCAGAAGACCATCCAGGACCAGGCTGCCACCAAGGCCCAGGGCAGGGCTGTCCAGTTTATGTAGTACAGAGGGTTTAGGGTTTAGGGTTGGGATCATAGGGTATATATTGGGGTTATGTTGGGATCATGGGTTATATAGGGATAATGGAAAATGAGATGGAAACTACCACAGTATATTGGGTTTAGATTGGGATGATGGAAAGTAAAATGGAAACCACTATAATGGGTTACTATAATCCCTAAACCCCTAAACCCTAAACTAATGGGTTATAGAGGAATTATGGGGTATATATTCTGGAGCAGGGCTCAGGATGAAACTAAGCGGAGTGGGAAACCTGGGTTCGGTCCCGAAAGATGTGATACTTGGGGGCTTGAAGTTTGAAGTAGCATTTGATAAGTCTCAGAGTACTGGTGCGCCGCAGGTTGTGGAGGCTTGACTGGAGAATTTGTGTATCTGCTAGTGCAGTCTTGTTTACTGCATCAAGGGTGGCAAAGTAGTGGCTGTCTCGGTGCATCAGGGGCAGGTGCATGATCCCTACTTGTAGAATCGCACGTGTTTTGGTCCTCATGTGTCAATGAGGAGTCAGGGGTTGTGTGACAATTTCAAGGGTATATGGTAGACCCATAGAAAATCTCAGACGCGTGAGAAGTCTTTATTGTTGTGAACAGGTCAAACGGCAGTGCTTGGACCCCAAATCTAAGTCCTTACAGTTAGTCGAGACAGAAGTGGGGATAAAATAGAGTGCTCGGAAGAAATGTCCCACTATCCATGGTAAAGACGGAGTCCGCTCCAAATTCAACTACCCCGCTACCTTCTGAGCGATCAACAAAAGCTGTCCTACCCAATTGTGCTACTGGCTTCCCGTGAGTCAGGGTGTACTTTGAGGGATCGTGGAATCAGTCATAGTCCCTCTTAAGTAGATAGAATTTGGGGTATATGGGGATCTTATTAGAATATACACAAAGCCATATTCTATCCACTCAAGGGGGACTGTAAGGTAAGACAAATATATCGTGTTCTTTGATACGCCCATGACAACCGTTTGTGATCCTTTCGAAGTGGTTTTCCTAACCCGAACCCATTAGTAACCCCAGGGTTCCAGACTCTCAAGGATGTCCTTCTGATGGCCAAGAACCGCCTCTTCCAGTTCTACCATCCGGACAGCGGAGGGGATGTTAAGATGACGGGAGATTGTGCGGATGATGAGAGGGATTGTCAGTAATAAGAGTAATAATAGCAGCAGTAATAGATTATCTACATGACCTGCCTGAAGCGCACGGATGTTACGGGGTTGTAGCTGAAACCCAGGACATGACCACCACTCTGTCCACCACGGGCCCATACGACCTCGGACTGATCCAGGATCGGGATGCAGGTTTCTTTTCATGGATAGGGATGTGATAGGATTTGGTAGTTCCCCAAAATAGGAGGGACCCACTATAGACCCCCAAATATTATTGGTCCTTATCATGGGGACCCCAAAAAAGGATCACTAATTTTGGGAAACCCCCCCATTTATTCAGGGTTTAGGCTCTTGTTGTTGAAGCAGACCCGCACGCGAGGTTCTCTGTCGCGGCTCCCGCGTCCTGCCTAGCCAGACTTTGTACTTTGCTGAGACCTGTTGATGGAAAAACTTCAGCTTTTCCCTTAGTTCCCCAAACAAGGGGAACCCAGACCCCCTGGGAGGATCTAAACATTAGATCCCATAAATAACCCCTCTGTAATCCTTCTATGATTTCCCATATGGTTCTAGGGGAACTAATTTTCAGATGCCTGTGTGGGTTTGAGAATCAGAGTAGTTCCGGGTCCATAGCTTCACCAACTTTGCATGAGTCTACGCTAGTCAGATGACTCTCTGAGTGCATTTGAAGAGGTAACATGTCATTTGGGTATATTATAGGCCCTCAAAAAGGCAAACATTATTTCCTCCTTTGGGGTATGGTGTCTTATGAGAAGAATGCAATCTTACCAGGTTCAATCACAAAAAGATGCTACTCATATGAAGTATAGTCTAAACTCGTAAAAGGGGGTTATATAGGGGATTATATAGGGGACTACTAAAGGGGTTACTAAGGGGGATACTAGGAGAATAGATTATGGCGCATATGAGATGCTGCACATTTCCTTGCTCAGGAGGCCCCAGCCTTCGTTCAGGCTCGGCCCGTGGAAGCACAACACAGCCCTAAACCCCAAATCCTCAACCCTACATCTAATTTTGAAGCCATGGGCCCCTAGTATGGGCCCTTAACCCTGGGATCCTTATATACCTACTACTGTACCCTTAAGGGCCCTAGAATCTCCCTAAGAAGCCTAGCCCATATTAGGGGCCCGTACTTCTAACCTTAGACTACAGCCCCACCCTGCAGTCCTGCATCTTGGGAGCACATTCCTCAGCACTCTTGTAGGCATCCATGCTGTCGTATCCTGATTCCCACAAAGAGCACTCGGTAATTCGCAGTAGTTCTGTGGGTTGCGCATGGTTATGCCTTGGCCCAGTTCCTAGCTGCTTCTGGAGCTGTCCCAGTGCTCTGAGACCCTGATGCTCATCCTTGAGTATTCCAGCGTTTCTCAAAAAGGATGACCCCAAGGCCCTAAGCGTGCTCTATGGGCATGTCCCGAGGTCACTTTGGAACCCCCCCATGGGGCGCTTCCTGTACTTCTAAGTACTGTTATGCATCACGCTAGTGTTTCATGGTGTACCTACACCGGTGTATATCCCTGTAGAACCTATATGCCCCCCAATACAAGTTATATGTTCTCCGTTTAAATCGCCTACCCAGACCCCCGAAGGGATCTAAAAATTAGATGCCTTAGAACCATAGGGGAAATTATATACGGAATATATAGGGGTTGTAATGGTATGGTATATAGGGGATCTAATTTTTAGACCATCCCAG